CATATTAGAATTGTATAAATTCCAGTTTTAAAATTAAGACCGTTAATTTCGATTAAAGTTGAGAAATAAATAAATAAATAAAATAGAAGAATATTTTTCATATCTTTTTAGACAATTAATTTCTTATATTATCCAAAAAAGAGAGAAAAATAAGCTGCAAAACATGACTTGTTCACGTATCAAGAATTATTCGACGTAAAATTATTATGGCATGAGTTCACATGGTGTATCATGAGTTCTGTTACCATTTTGCATCTAATCAGTTACTTTTTAATACAATTTTAAAGTAGCGTAAATTGCATTTTGTTATAATTTTAAATTATCAGTAACTTTACATTACAATTTTAAAAATGGAAAAGTCAATTTTTAATTAAGATAAATGCATGAATATTTTTCAAACAAGTTTTCATATTGTAAGGATAAGATTCTGAAACTTTATCCAAACATTTCTCAGACAATTCCTCATATTATCCATAAATGGAAGGAAGCTACAAAAGAAATGAATTGCTACCATGTCAAGAATAATTCTTCGACGTTAGATAGAAACCGCTAATTAAGGTAACAGGCTACGACAAGAATTGATATTGTGTATCATGAGTTCTGACGACCGTTATTATCCGGGCTGCCCGTAATTACATCAACTTGTGAATAGATATATCTCTTCCTTTAATAGACCGGGAGAATGTATTTCATTTAACTATACTCACCAATTGGACACACAGTGTTTATCAGGCAGATTGAATAGATACTGGAAGATTCATGAAATGGAAGTGCGAGCATTGCAGGGAAGCCAACGCGTTTAACTTAGTAGTTAATGATTTTAATGAGTTAAGTTTCCATATAGCAATATGGAGGAGTGTGAAGTAAGTTTAGCCAGAGGTGTTTCCAACCATAAAATTATTTTTTTAAAATTCAAAAAAATTATCCAAGGTTTAATTTATTGCAGGGAAACGAATTAAAGGTACATAAATGTTAAGGTTCGTTAAAATGGAATTATCCTAAACTTAACTATTTGAAAATTATAAAAAAAAATAATTCAATGTCAAATTAGTTGGATTAACCAAACTAACTTAATCAGATTGCACTAATACTAGAATACACATTTGGATTATCGCGGTGCGTTTATTGCCGGGAATCAAACATTAATGTTGTTTAACTACAAATAATTTTAGTGACAATGAATAATTCTTGTGCTTTGGTATAAAAATATTAAAGGTTGTGCATAATCTGTATTAGGATGGAATGAAAGTTTTGTAAGAAAAATTTTAGTGACAATGAATTATTTCAGCGTTTCGGTATAAAAATATTAAAGATTGTGCATAATCTGTATTAGAATGGAATGAAAGTTTCGTAAGAAACATTTTAGTGACAATTAATTTAGTGACAATGAATAATTTTAGTGTTTCGGTATATAGATATTAAAGGTTGTACATAACCTGTACTAGAATGGAATGAAAGGTTTGTAAGAAAAATTTTAGTGACAATTAATTTAGTGAAAATGAATAACTTTAGTGCTTTGGTATAAAAATTTCAAAGGTTGTGCATAATCTGTATTAGAATGGAATGAAAGCTTTATAAAAAAATTTTTAGTGATAATTAATTTAGTGACAATGAATAATTTTAGTGATTTCATTTGGTATAAAAATATCAAAGGTTGTGCATAATCTGTATTAGAATGGAATGAAAGTTTTGTAAGAAAAATTTTAGTGACAATTAATTATTTTAGTGTTTCGGTATAAAAATATCAAAGGTTGTGCATAATCTGTATTAGAATGGAATGAAAGCTTTATAAGAAAAATTTAGTGACAATTAATTTAGTGAAAATGAATAACTTTAGTGCTTTGGTATAAAAATATCAAAGGTTGTGCATCATCTGTATTAGAATAGAATGAAAGCTTTATAAGAAAAATTTTAGTGACAATTAATTTAGTGACAATGAATAATTTTAGTGATTTGGTATAAAAATATCAAAGGTTGTGCATAATTTGTATTAGAATGGAATGAAAGTTTTGTAAGAAAAATTTTAGTGACAATGAATTATTTTAGTGTTTCGGTATAAAAATATCAAATGTTGTGCATAATCTGTATTAGAATGCAAGGAAAGCTTCGTAAGAAATTTTTCAAATTTTTATCTCGTGCTTATTTATTAATTTTATGGAATTAAAATTTTTTTAAGATGGTTCAGACCAATTCAACCAGATTGAATACATTGGAAACATCGCAGTGTAATTTGTTTCAAGGAAAACAAATTAGTTTTCAAGAATGCAAAAAAAAATTACATATTTCGATAAAATACATTTTAACGAAAGTTTTAAGCGTCAAAAAATCTTATATACAGAAATTTTAAATTACTGACAAACTGTAATTAAATAAATTACGTTACAAAATTTCACGGTAAATATCAATTTTATGTTAAAATGGATTTTACCGATGATGCACCCAGGGTACGAGTACTTTTTACCGTAAATTTGATTCCGAATTTTATACAGTTTGGCTTAGCCAATAATAATTTCATAAGTTATATTCCTATTTAAATTTGTTAATTGAGAAGTAATCAAATATGTCTAAGTTAAACATTTAAATTATAAAACTCATTCTATAAAAAATAATAAATAAATAATTTTAAAAATAATAATTTAGTAATAAATAATTTATAAAATAATAAATAAATAATTTCCAACTCTTACGAACTGATGTTGGGGATTGATTTTATGATCTCGTACACCGTAATTTCCGAAAAAAAGTGCATTGGTGAAATGTAACATTGTTAATAATTTCATAGCGCTATATTGTAACATAAAATTTCAGGGAAATGAACTAAATTGCATTTATGAAAAATATTTTTCAAATATGCAAATCTTATAAGCATTTATTCAAAAAATATATTAAAATATTGTTATATTTTATTAGTATTTTATATCTAAAGTTATAAAAAATATGTTACTCGTGAATTAAAAAAATAAACACAGGAAACAAATAGCGAAACAACAATAAAAATATGACATTCACTAAAAACAAGTAAATAAAAAGGAAACCCTTGTTATTTAATATAATAAAAAATAAATAAAACTTTACACCCGAAAACGTACGTGTTTGTAGAAAACTTGTCGATTATTTAAAATAATTCGAATTGTATTATTCATAACAGGAATAGATTAAATTCTCGTTACAGAGTTTAAATCATTAATAGTTGAAATTTTAGATTTTGAAAACCAATTTGCATACTACAATTAACTAAAAGTCGACCATGGTTTAACATTTGTTTTAATTACAGGTTGTGAGTTAAAGGTTTTTTTGTAAAGTAATTTAAGCTAAAAATGGGATACTTTTCTATGAAATCAGGAAAAGTATTACACTTGCCAGAGTTTCTTAATATAACAACATTGAGTTACAATAAATGTAACAACAGAGTTTCTAAATGTAACAACAGATATACTAAATGTAATAAATGTAACAGCTATTATTAAAGTGAAGAAAGAAAATGCATTACGTATTATACGTATTACGAAAAAAATAAAAAATATTTGCATAAAAATAAAGAATTAATTTATAAAATTACTATTATTTTATTTAAAAAAATAATAATAATAAAGAAAGAAAGAAAATCAGCAGTTACGTAATTAATTATATTTAATTCTGCAGCCTAAAAAATGTATGCTTTTGCATCAATAAAAAATTTATATGCATTCAAAGTTGAAATAAATTTAAAAGAGTTTCAGAAAAATCAAAAATAATAGGAAAGAAATTGCCAGTAATATGTATATTAGATTCAAATGTCATTAATTATGTTTATTCTATTATAAGTAATCAGCTGATTAAACTAAAGAAATTTTAAAATTAAAAAAAAAACACAGGGTGAATTTTCTTTTTCTTAATTGTATTTTAGTAATTTAAAATATTAGTTACAAAAAGTTTTATTAAATTTTATTTCTATCTTATTCTGAATTTAAAAATGTTAATTTATTAAATCATAAATAAAACTTTGTGTCTTAAGCATGCGTTAGGAATGTTAAGCGATAGTGAATTAACAAAAATTTACTTACATTTATCATTTCGAACAATAATTTGAGTTTTTTTTTAAATTTTATATGCTTAAAGTTTTATCCCTTACGTAAAGCCGGTAATAAAAATTTACGTTAAGAGCAAGCTACTTTATATAATTCTGAAAACGACTACTTATTGTAAAATTTTATGTCTTCCGTATTAAGTTAAGTATGTTAGTTGTTTTAAAATTAATGCGGCACTTCATTTACATGAGAGGCTCATTTAGAACGAAGTTTTAAAGAAAAAGAAAATAAAGTCACTTTTTACAATTTTTAATATATAACCACCCTTACGAGATTTGGTGCCAAGGGAGGAAAATGAGGTAACTGCCCAAAGATCGGAGCGTCCACCCCATGGAAAAAGATTGCAGACTTTAATCTAATAAATTAATACAACGTATTAATTCTTAGTTACGTTTTCAAAAAAATGTTAAAACAATCATAGTGAGTCATTTTTTGTCTAAAATTATAACGTTTTCAATAAAATATTGCAAAAAAAAAGACTCGACGAGTAATAGTTCGATTATGCACGGGAATTACAGTTTTCCTGTCGGGTTTAAATCCTAGCACTCCGCCTGTACCTTACTCATAAAAATAATTTTCTAGAAAAAAAAATTTAAAAATTTTTTCAAGTTTAAATAAATTTGCATATTTTAAAACAATCAAGTGAGATTTAATTGGAATAATTTTAACAACAAATCAAAAAGAGAGAAAATGTATTTTAAACATAGCTTGCGCAACAATTTGATTAAAAAGATTATTATTTTTAGACGGAAATACATTTTTTCAAATAATAAAGTATTAAGAAACAAGATAATTTAAATACATATCTCAGGTTTTAATTTTTTTGCATAGCATACATACTTGACTTACGTAAAATGCGTCGGTCAAATCAATCAGTTTTATGAGTTTATTTAAAAAAAAAGCTAAATTCTTAATAAACAGTTTATATCTTACCTCATCTTGGCATGCTTTATCCCACTGCAATATAGATTGAGCGATGGGAGACATAATTTCCAATTCAGCCATTTCTTCCAACAAAAAAAAGTTGATACAAAATATAACAAAGTATTTCAAATATATTTATTAAGTTGAAAAAGGGCTGGAAAATCCGTCCGTAAATAAAATCCTTCACACTATCAACACTTTTCACTACAAAAAAAAGAAAGAATCTTTGCTTTATTCTATTATAGAATCAATCCAAGAAAAGCAAAACAAGAATCCATGTGGTATTTTGGGCACGATCCGCAGCATCATGTATCCAGTCCTTCTTCATCCATCTACACCTGAATCACTAAAGGAAAAGCAACAGCGAGTTGTGTGATGAAGTTTTCGCTCAATAGAGGGCGCTCCGAACAAGAAAGAGAATGTCTTTTATTCCCTCCCGATACGATTTCCCCTCATCTGCATAAAGATGATGATGGATGTGCGCTGGTGAATATTTTTCGATTATTTATTCATTTTTTTTTTAATTTCTTTTCTTTAAGGGGATAATTTGGATACGCAGTTTTTCTTTAAAGGCTCCTCCAGAGACACGTTATTAATTATCGTGTATTTTATTGTGGCATACTAATTGTTTGTAGAATGGTCGGTTTTAGGTTGATATCCTTTTACAAGGTTGTTGAGTAATTATGCTAAATCCTCGCCAAGCAGACTTTCTCGTATGCTCCATCACTTTGAAATGTGATAGATTGCAGTCGACGTTTGTGATAATTCGTTTACATTGCATATGTTATCTTCGATAAGCCAGTTCTGAGCCTGTTTAAATATTATTGTTTTAAACATCGTTAAATTAAACTTTGTATTGTCAAACAGGTTATGAGTGTTATAATCTAGTTAAGTTAAACAAAAGGTTTGATAAATGTTTCTGTTGGTTCGAAATTTTATGCTTAAAGCTAGAAAAAAAACGTACATACGTGTTCTAATTTTTTTTTCTATTTTTTTCTTATTTTTCATTTTATTTCAATAAAAGATTTAAAATCAGGCTTGATAATGCTTTGTTTTAAACTAAGAAGCTGAATCCAAACTTAAATGTAAATCAGAAAAATGAAAAGAAATATTTTTAAACATCTTCTACAATGCGAAAAAAAAAAAAACTGAACATCCAAATAACTTTTGTTTTAATGATCGGATTATCACGTATTACATTAAAAGGCACAAATATTCAACCTCTGTTCGTTCTAAACTATTGGTACAATATTTACCAATTTTCGGTTAGTTCAAATTTGACGAAAAATTGTTGATTGATTTCGTAATTTAAAGTATCACCAGCGAATATCGATTAGCATATTCGAGTTTAACCTCTCGAATCACTAAATAAGCATCTAAACACGTAATAATTCAACCACAATATTATATTTTAACAAGGTATTCCGTTTATAGCTATGAGCGATTTACACATCGGTTTTTAATTTCTGTATTTTTGGAATTACTTGTTAAAGGGATAAGATGATTCTCAAGTATTTTGTGAGCGATATTTTTTTTTTTTTTTGAATTAGCGTGATTTAAAATATTTCCATGCGAGAAAGAGATAAGTTTTCAGATTAGAAATGAATTAACTGAACTGCTCTTTAGGGGGAAATGTTACAGTAAATATATCACCTCACCAAGGGCAATAGATTGAGGTTAGGTAAAAGTTGCGATTTAATTTAGTTTGTATGTTAATGTCACAATAAAGCTAAACACTTTGGTTACCGACCCTCCTTAATGATGATCTGAAGACATTATTTACAAACTAAAATATCATTATTTAGATCGGAGGGCAGATGGTAGTAATAATCAACCAATCTTTGCAACACGCTCTCCAACTGCCCTACCTCGCATAGACTTTTGCAACACTGAAGCCACTAGGGACACTACTTTAGATTGAATTTCAGCCATTTATTTCAATCAGAAAAAGTATAGTTCGTTCGAACACTCATCCTTAAACGAGGAAAATCGAGTCAGCCGTGGCAAACTCACCACACCAACTAGGCGCAGTACATCTGTTTTAATTTTTAAAGTGATCATATTCACTTACAAATACTTCATGTATTTCTATTTAACATAGATGCTTAAATAGTCACAGATTAGTTCTATGTTCCAAGATTTGACAATCAATCTCCCTATACAGGCCACCTACCAAAGATAACGCTCAATAGGTATTTTAGACTATTTGACAAAAATTAATCAAAAAGTCATACACTTTAATAATCAATTTCAAGATCGAAAGAATCACTAGCGGGAAAAGCTGGGATGGAAAGCATCAAAACCTGTTTTGATTGCTGAAAGCAACATGTAGGAGTTAAAATATCTTTATTAGAACCACCTTCACATTCCAACAGACAATCAAACTTGCTTTGATTCCTTTTTCTCATTCGCATTTCTCACAATCCAACTGGGTTCGATAAAGTTTTTATTTTATTTTCGATAAATTATAATGTAGACGAAATAAAAAAATTCTGGTAAAATTACCGCACTGTATGGTAAGGACATATCTAGTAAAAATAACCATAATTCATGTACTTAAAATCAGAATATATGGAACTTAAATCATTCAATTGATAATTTTCATGCTCATATGATAACGATTTACAGGAAATTCTTGTTTTATAGTTTTTATGACTACACATTTAGTAAAAAATACAAAACTGAAAAAGTAAATTTAACAGAATAAATGGTTTTTATGCCAAGCTTTAAAGTATCGCGATAAAATTTCCAAATTCTACCACATTTACCAAATTTTATCACATATTTGGTAAAAAATACCGAACTTTTTGGTGTTCCCCAAACACGGTAAATTGTACCTTAATCTGGTAGTTTTGAGCATAGTGTTTTTTTTTTCTTAGTGTACGATTTTTTATGGGAACTACCTTTATTTTTGACAAAGAATGCAAAAAAAATATACGAAGGGTGGTGATTACTGATATTTCTTAATTATAGTTTGTTGTTTGTTGTTAATTTACGTCGCACTAGAGCTGCACAATGGGCTATTGGCGACGGTCTGGGAAACATCCCGGAGGATGATCCGAAGACATGCCATCACAATTTTGATCCTCTGCGGAGGGGATGGCACCCCCGCTTCGGTAGCCCGACGACCTGCGCGCGAAGTCGAGCACTTTACGGTAGCACAGTTTAACGAGGACCAATACCGCACACCCTCAGTCCCTACACAGACTGATCCAAGTGGTCACCCACCCGCACACTGACCGTAGCCAGTGATGCTTGATTTCGGTGATCTGCTGAGAACCGTGTCTTAACGATCAGTCCACTGCGGGACTCTCAATTATAGGTAATTATAATTTATTAATTGTAGAGTATCATAATGCACTTTTACATGAAGCTTGAGCATGGCCTGTTTCCTATTTCGTATGAGTTATTTTGTATGTTTTATAGGTTATTTTACATGTATTATTATCATACTATTTCTTTAATAAAGATTAAAGAAAATAATAACGTTACGTGTTTCTTAACATTATTTTTTCCTTCTTCCAAGTTTTGGTATTTTAAGCAATATATTTTTAAAAAAAGGCATTTAATAGTAAGTTTTTCAGATTTAAAATCAAGAAGAAATTTCATTTCGAATGCATTTTAAATAACAATATCCGGGCACTTTTTGAAGCCACCTCGATGGGTAACCTTCCTTCCCATTCCGCCTAACACTCGCTCAAAACTGTTCTTTTGGGAAAATAGATTTTGAAAGGTATTACAAAATAAAGAAAGAAATGGCAACAGCTGTTCAAAATCAATAAGAAAATCATCTCGGCACAAAAGATTTCGCTAGGCACATAACGTTTGAATTTGATGTGATGTTTTCCGAATTGAAAGAAAAAAAGATTGAGCATTTTAACATTCAAAATCTAAAATATATTCCTGCTTCCATACCAATCAAAATTCTTCTATAAATGGAAAACAAAAGTATAGTCTGTATTGTATTAAAATAGAATTGACCATTAAAATTGTCATACGCAGTAGGAAGTGTTTTTTTTTCTTCTTCTTCTCAAGATTAAAACATTTCTTTTTTGAAAAGCATAAGAAAAAAAAATTTTTTTTTGCTTGCTTTTGGAAAATTTTTAATAAAACGGGAATACTACGGTTTTTCTTTCGCTTTCAGAAACAAATTTAATAAAATTGGAATAAATATTACATTTTATTGTTTTGCTTTCTGAAATTTTGTTTAACGCACACAATTACGGTTTTACCTAAAACCGTAATATCCAGGAGAATTGCTGCAACATAAGGTACACCGAGAAAAAAAACATGTGCAAAATTACCAGAATATGGTAACATTTACTGTATTGCTGGCTCTATTGGAATGTAAAAATCTCGGTAATTTATACTAGGAAATGCTTAGGTGATGATTTGGGTAAAATTAATAATAAAATGTAGTTTTATAATATGTGATAAAATTTGGTAAATGTGGTAAAATTCGGTAATTTCGTCGTTATAATACAGAGCATAGCATAAAAACCATTTCTTCGGTTAAATTTACTTTTGAGTTTTTTATAAAATGTGTGGTAAAAAAAATTGTAATTTTGAAAACCAGAATTTCCAGTAAACCATATGAATAGAAAAATTACCAAAGAAAATGGTTTAAATAACGTATATTTTGATTTTATTAACCAGAATTTTTTTTTAACCCAGAAATGTCATTATTGTACAGTAATGACATTTCTGAGTGAAAAAAAATTATCAAATTAATTATTAAATTATCAAAATAAAATAAAAAATCATCAAAATTATCATACTGTACAGTGTACAGTATGATAATTTTACAAGAAATCTTTCTTTGTGTTTTAAATTAAGAAAGGTTATTATTCAAATTGAACCGTAATTCATTTAATCAAGTTTGAGAGAATTTAATTTACACTATAATAAGGTTCAACGCAATACGGCTACAATATTTTCTGAAAATTCGCCTGATATTGTAGTTGAATTAGCTCCTAGATTTCAAGCATTGTATTACAGTGTAAATCGTTTTTTTTCTCAATAATATTTTGTATTTTTTTAAAAAATTTTAATTATATTTTTTAATTGGCTCTACAAAAAATTTGGTATCATCAAATTATGGTAAAAAAGAACCTGCCGGTACTTTTGGTGTCTTCGGTACTTCTAACCGTAAAATTCATTTTTATCGCAACATGTTACTCAACAAAAATCTGATATACAGTAACTTTTACAGTAATTAATACCTTAAAATCAATAAATCACTGTAAAAATATAAACAATACTGTAAAAATTACAATATAATATTTTACGGTAAAAATAGGTTTTACGGTAAAATGGAATTTACGGATGATGCACGCAAAGTGCACTTTATACCGTAAATTGATCTGAATTTTTTTAT